CTCAGCACCTCCCCCTGCAGGATCATCTCCCCCTGCCTCACCATCTCTTCCTGCCTCACCATCTCCCCCTACCTCACCATCTCACCCTGCCTCAGTACCTCCCCCCTGCATCTCCCCTGCCTCAGCACCTCCCCCTGCCTCACCATCTCCCCCTGGCTCACAGCAGAAGCCCCAGCTCATCTTCCTGGTTCTGCTCCTGCTTTTGGTCAGAGACCCTCAGCATGCACTCACACACCGCTGCTCAAAGCCGTCTGCTCCCCGCACAAGCCCAACTCTATCATCACCTACGAGCCACCTGCCCCCCGGCCGCCTGCACCTCCCGACTCTGCTGCTGCTGCGGCCGCGTCCTCCGTCTGTGGTCTGAGTTCCGTCCCCGCGGCTGACCCCTCCTCCGTGGGTCTGGGCAGCGACCACGCCCCGTGAACCATCTGTTCCCTCAACGTCCTCTCCCTCCTGAAGGTGCAACCCCGCCGAGCGAGGCTTTGCCTTGTCCCTAGCCGGATGCCCCCCGGAAGAACTCCGCGCACCGTTGTCATTAAATAACGGGGGGAACAGACGCCGCCCTGCAGGATACGCTGGGTTACGGGGTGGGGCCTGCAGCCTCCCCGCTCTCTGAGCTCCTGAGTCGTGTGACCTCGATCAAGTGAGCAAAACGGGGCTGACACGGCCACTTTGCTGCGAGACTTAAACGGGTTAACGTGCGGATCCCGTAGGATCAGGGAGTGTATACAGCAAGCACTCAAGAAGCGCCCGCTCTCTCCGGCAAGGCTTTCGTTCGGGTGCTCGCCGTTCTTGAGCACCGGGCCTGCAGCATCCCCCACGCGGACAGCCTCGGGCCAGCGTCCACGGGCCCCACGGGCGTCACTGCCGACTGTCCCCTGAGAAAACCGGGCAGTGCGTTCCTTGCCGAGCGCCACGTGGCCTCGGACGTGCGCCTCAGGGCGGATCTGGGCCCCGCGTTCGTCACATGACACGGCCCCAGGTTTCAAGCCTTGGAAGGGAGGCCCCCGTTCCCCACGATGCCCCCCGGGGACTCACCTGGCCCTTGGCGAAGCCCTCGAAGCCGTCGTAGATGGCAAACATCTTGTGCCCTTCGGAGATGCCCACGCGCACGGCCGAGCGCACGGCCGCGTTCATCCCGGCGGCGGGGGCGCCCACGTTGATGACTGCCACGTTGCAGTTGCTCTGCAAGACAGCGGAGGGCTCGCACGCGGGGGGGCTCACAGTGGTCATGCAGCCCGGGAGCCCAGGACGCCAGGGTCCGCGGGGGACACGGGGGGGCCTCACGGGAGCGACCCGCGGCGGCACCCACCTTTGGGATCTGGTCATCTGGCATCTTGATGGCAAGCCGCTTGTAGGTGTTCAGATTGCTCTCGAAGCTCCTGGAAGGAGAGGCCGCCGTCGGGGCCAAGGTCAGGGCGCGAGGGGCCGGGTCGGGGAAGGGCTTGTGCCGAAGCAGACCGTCCGCAGGGTCCTGCGCTGGGCTCTCGGGGCCGGTCACCCCACCTCCCGGGCCCTGGTGCGTCCAGTTACGTAGGAGGCACGTCGTGTCCGCGGCCAAGGAACCAGGCCTCTCACACACTCGGGTTTCTTTCTCAAGATGCCAGCCCCGTGCCACGTCCCGTCCTAACCTCGCCAAGTCCTCAGCAACCCCACCAGCCAGGACACGGACAGCAAACTGCTCCCGCCGCTCCCCATCAAGGCCTGCAGGCGGCAGAACGCTGCCCGAGGCCGGGCTCGGCCCGACTTTCTCGGCTGGGAAGGAGCACCGCCCTGGAGCACGGCTGAGCACCACTGAGGAGCGAGGGCCCCAGGAGAGCAGCGCCCTCGGGAGAGTCACCTTCCGCGGAGTCGCACGGCGTCCTTAAATCTCCTCTCGTCCATGGCCTTCTGCACGTCCTGGGTCTTCAAACCAGTCAGGAAAAGAAGAAGGAACACGTCACGACTCCGACACCGGGCCCTTCCCTCCTCGCCCTGAGCTCCGTCCGACCGTCCGGGCCGGCAGCCCGGGATCAGCGAGACTGCACCTGCGCCTGCCCGGCTGCGAGGGCCGAGCCCAGGCTGCCGTGATAAAGCAAGGCCGGGGCCACAGACCCTGAGGCCCCAGGGACAGCAGCACCGCCAGGGCGAGCTGGAGCTCGCACACGGCCTTGCGGGCAACCCCCGGTTCGGGAGGGGGGGCCTCCCGGGGACGGAGCAGGGGCGGGCGGCCCGGGGAGCACCACTCACACCGCCTCGGCCCTTCCAGCCCGAGGACCTCAGGCAAGTTATTCACGCCTCTGCACTCCATTCCCTCACCTGTTCCCTGAGAAAAATAGCCCAACTTCCAAAATTATCTGGGTTGTAGGAACGTGCGGGACCCCGGGGACAGTGCCTGACAGACACCGGGTGCACACACACACGTGCAGCCAGGCGCTCATATACACACGTGCACACACACGCAGCCATCCACACTCACACACACAGGAACACGCACACACAGTCGTGCCCACTTGCACACACAGAAACGTGCACACACAGCTGTGCATACTTGCACACATAGACACGCACACACGTGAACACACATGCAGCCGCACACACTTGCACATACAGAAACATGCACAAGCAGCCACGCGCACTTACACAGAAACATGCACACATAGCCACGCACAGGTGCACTAGCAGAAACATGCACACACATGCACACATGTACCCGCGCACACTTGCACAGAAACATGCATACACGTACACACACGTAGCCATGCACACTTGCGCGCACACACAGCCATGCACACACGGAAACACGCACACATACACAGCCGTGCGCACTTGCACACAGAAACATGCACACGCAGTTGTGCCCACTTGCACACACAAACGTGCACACACAGAAACACGCACACATGTGAACGCACGCAGCTGCACACACTTGCACATACAGAAACATGCACACTTACACAGAAACATGCACACGTAGCCACGCACAGGTGCACAGCCAGAAACATACACACAATATACACATATACACGTGTAGCCGTGCACAAACACACAGCTGTGCACACACATGCATGCACACACTGCCATGCACACTTGCACACACAGAAACATGCACACACATACACACACGTAGCCATGCACACTTGCACACACATTTATTCACTCCAAAGCCTTCTGGCAATTACGTTTCTACGGCCACTTGCAACAAGTCCAAGACCGAATTGCTTCATCACCTCTCTGCACAGGTTATAAAGTACAAACGCCTCAGAGCCACCGGAAAGGCCAAATAAAAGGACAGTAACAAACAGGCCTCGGGAAAGACAAGACACTGACAACGTCTGATGCAGCTCGCTGCCACCTCACGTGGTGCCCAATTGCCTCGAAAACCCCAGCCCGCTTTGCTGCGTGCAGGGGCCCCACCCCCGGGGCCCGAAGGAGGCTGGTGCACCCCAGGATGTCACCCCAGCTAGGCATTCCAGCGCCACGTCTCAGATGGGAATGTCCTCGGGGACAGAGGACAGGGGCGGCTGCCAACGGAGAGGCTCCGCCCCGTCCACCGCACCCCGTGAAGCCCCCCGCCCCGGATGCCTCACAGACCCGCGTCCCGACACATCTCATCTTGTTGGCAGAAACGGGTGATGTGCACACGCTCCTTCCCGACAGACGGAGCTCATCTTGGGGGAGGTTCCGCTGCGCGCTGCCTCCGTCCTGGTGTCACCGAGCCCCTGCCTCCCCCACGGGCAGCGTCCGGCGTCCCGGGCGAACTCACCATCTGCACACACTCCACCAGGGGCAGGCGGACAGCCTGGTTCCCGCTCAGCGACACCACGCAGGCCGGGGTCTCTGGGGTGGCCTGGAGAAGGGCGACCACGGCCTCCACCCCCATGCGACTGGCCTGTAAGTGACAATCGCGAAGGTCAAAGGCAAGGTCACGGGTCCGGGCAGCACGTCCACCAGCTCCGGGGAGGCGCGACCGTGAGCAGACGCACCCGTGAGCAGAGGCCTGGCCCGTGTTCAGCCGGACCCAGCGTGCCCCCGTCCCCCCGTCCCCCTGGCATGGGTCCTGATGAGCTCCTTACGGTCTATCCTATCATGTCTAACCCACCGCCAATGGGGAGATTTCGACGAGATTTCGACCCCACTACGAGGTGGCTGGTGGGGGGCCCTGAAGGGGGCTCGGAGGTGCAAAGAGCACCCAGACCAATACCCACGAGTCTGGACTGGCCTCTGCTGACCCTGGGGCCTGCATCTAGAAACCTGCATGCGTCGTCCTCCCCCTCAGCACCCCGTGTTTGGGGGTCCCCCAGCGTCTGGGTGACGGGGGGGCCGAGCGGGTCTCCAGGACGAGCCACGGGCTCTGCAGGCAGGGACGCTCTTCACCGGATGGCCACCGGATGGCTCTGTGAGCGTCGGACTTCCCGGTAACACGTTCCTTCTCGCTCCTGGGGGGAGGCGCCCCACGACGTCTATCCTCACTCACCAAAATCCTGTCAAAGGCCGAAGGAGTCCCGCCTCTCTGCACGTGTCCAAGGATGGTCACCCGCGTGTCGTACCCCAGCTGCGTGACCACAAGCTGTGGGAAACAGAGCGACACAGGACGTCATCTCGTGCTCTGTGCCGGGGCTGGGGACTCGGGAGTCCTTTCCTCGGACCTACGCGGGGGAGACTTCCGGTGTCTAAAGTTCGCTTCCTAGAGGAACGTTTAGGTGAATGGTGAGCTGAGATCAGGGCACATCGTTACTAATACCTTCTAGAAATGCAGACGTTTTCCCCCCCCAGTCACCGTAAGTCTGCACAGCTGTAAATGCAAAGCACAGCGTGGACGCCGTGGCCAGCCACGGGGTCCCCCCAGGGCGGCCCCACGTGAGCGTCGCCGGGCCGGGCTGCCATCCGCACTCACCCCTCTTACTCCTGTACCAGCAACGGGCCAGGCCAGGTGGCGCCTGTGGTCCTTTCTGCTCTCGTATCCCATGATTCAATCTCAACTTTGATTAAGCGGGAAAAGGGAAGTCTTTGATCTTATTGATTACTTCTTGTCGATAATGGCAGATAACTTTCCCAGACAGATCCCCCTGCTCTAATACTCAGCTGCACGGCTGGTCTGGGAAGGAACGAAAGGCAGGACCGAGAAACCAGGTCGCAAAGGCAGCCGATAACGTCCTTTGCCCTGATGGACAGCTTCAACCGGAGGCTGCCTGCCCGTCTGTCTGTCTCCCCTGCGTTCTGTCCAGACATGAGCCATCGCCGGCCTAACCCATCCCTCCCGTCCCGGGTCCTCGTGACAAGCCAGCGCCCTCGGGCGAGCCCTGCTGCAACAAGGCTGCCCTGGAGGCCGGACGCAGCACGGGCGTGAACCCAACAAGGCAATCTTGTTTGTGAGAACACTGGGCCCGACCCCTGTCGCTGGCGGGCAGCTGGCGCCCGGAGCCGGGACCCCCTGTCCCTGTCCCTCCCCTGCTGCGTTTCAACTGTCAGGGCGGCTCCCAAGGCCTCTGGGGATATTGAGGACAGTACGCGGGAGCCGCGGGAGTCTCCTGCCGTTAAAAGTTATGAGTCATTACCAAAACATTTTTAAACATCAGGAAGAACAAAAAATGTTTCCGTGATAATAACACAACGTTCCAAACGCGAACCCCGCCAGCCTTGTTAAAATCCCCCACTTCTAGGCTGGCGCCTGAGCATTACGAAACCAGACACACTCACCTCCTTGATTTGCTCAGAGGTAATGGGTTTATTTTGGGTGTCGATGGCACCTTCCGCCACAATGATGATATTCAGTCTTTTCTTCCGGGCACGGTTCTAGGAAACAGGACACCGAAATCGTTTTTAACAAGAGACAAACCCAGGGCCCTTTGCCCCAAACGCACTGGCCTCTTTCCAGGTAGAGATCTTCACCCAAGTTTGCACACGGCTTCACCGACTACCGCGGGCGGGTGAAGGCGCTCTGGGTGAGGGGGGTCGGGGTGGGGGGAGGCTGGTCACCCCGGACACAGGCCAGCATCCAGGTGACTCCAGGCTGGGGACCACGCTCATCTGCCATCTGGTCCCAGAAGGCGGTGAGCTCAGCCATCGGCCCCAGCAACGCGTCTATACCGCAAACCAGGCTTCTGGTCTCCTCCTGAAGCCAGAGCCTCCCACCCACTCACTGTGAACCTGGCAGGGAATTCCTGCCCCTGCAAAGGGAGCACAGAGCCCCAGTCTTGTGCAGGGGTGGGGGGAGGGGAGCACGGAGCCCCAGTCCCGTGCAGAAGGTCGGGGGGGGGGGGCGGGCCCGCACAGAGAGTACGCACGTGGGAAAGCCGCACCTGTGCAGGACCAGCCAGCCTGGCACTGAGCCCACACCTGCTGTCCCCACAGCCCCCTGGGGCGGGGGAGGAGGGGGGTGTCACCCAGCGATGTGCTGAAACCACGGTCAGCAAGGACATTGTCTACCGAGTCCCAAGTTAAAGACCCTCCCGGGGAGGCCGGGAGACGTCACACAGGCGGGCAGTCCCTCGGGGGGAGGGGGGTGTCCCAAGGACACAGGCTGTTTGCTGCGGGGTGGTTTTCCCCTCTGCTAGACAGATACTAAGCTGCCCTACCTGGAGGAACTCAGACGTGCGAAGATGTGGTCGCAAGTGATTACGACGTGTCCACGAATACGGGATTGGCCACGTGGCCACACGCCACCCACACTCACATGGGGAGGGAGGCCCCGAGCCCCGAACAGGGCACGGCAGGAGCCCTGGCTCCCCACTGGGACCCGTGCACCCACGAATCCCCCCCCCGGGTCACTAGGAGCTGAAGCATCTCCCCGCGGCACAGCAGAGGAACCTGGGGCCGGGGCCCGAGCCCGGGTCTTGCCTCGGGGCGGCCTTTCCGATTTCAAACCCAAGTAGCCAAAATCCGGCGGACGCCGTGAGGTGTGCTTCCCGGGCCCGTTTATCGGGCGGGACATTTGGGGAAATGCTCCCAGCGCCACGTTCACGCCCGGTAAAAATTCCTTGCGGATAGAATGATCAACGGTTCCACACAAGCGCGCTTAAACCACCCGCCCTCAGTCGGCCGACACCTAACGCGGGGACCCCACCACGTTCTTGTCCTTGTCCCAGCTCGCAGTGCCGTTTACAAAGTCTGAAACCCAAGGACATTTGCAGAGAAGCCCACACGGTTATGGAAACGACGGGCAAAGCTAAACACGAGCGCCCACCCCCCCAGGTAACAGCCTCACCGCTGCCCCTCTGACCCGCTGTGCGCGGCCCCAGAGCAGGCCTGCGTCTCCTCGTCCCAAAGGCCAGAACGTGGCCCGAGATGGCATGGTCCTGGGCCAGCCGGGGGCAGGGGGACCGGGGGCGGGCGGGGCCCGGCCCCCCCCCCGGGGGGGGGGGGGGGGTTGAGCCATGCAGAAGCACTGTGCTGCTCACGCAGCCAGCCATGTGTGGCCCCACGCCAACGGGCCGGCGGGGGTGCCTCCCACGTCCCCGGGTCAGAGGCGAGAAACACCGAGCGTGTCTGCTACGTCACTGGTAACGCCCGTACCTGGGACGTTGGTGGCTTCATCGGTCCCCTGCCTAAGCTTCATCTTCCTACGTGCGGGGCTCTTCCCGTCAAGGGCGCAGCGTCCGTCAGGGGTTTCTTACACTGTTTTTAGGTCAGAGGGTACTCGGTCTGTTGCCCACAGTCCTTTCTCGGAACCCGTCACGTTGAAGGTGACGGCAATGTCTTACCGCACACGTGTCCCTGCTGCACCCTCAGCCCAAGTGTCTGCTAAGTGTGACTGTCAGTGGCCTACGCCACACGCTTAAAGACATCCCCGCAGGGCAGCGGTGACACGGCAGGGAAATTCACCAGGCACGGGGACTCTGTCCTGAGAGCTGACCTCGTGTGCTTCCCCGGGGCTAATAACGCACGGCGGGAGACACGGACGACAGACGCGAGGACGGGAAAAGCCTGGTTCTGGGCGACCGGTAAACGATCCAACCGGAGGCACGCCCAGAGGGGCGGGGGCCACAAGGGGGAGCTGGGGGCTGTGACCTGGGCCGCACGGCATGTGCGGAAACGGTCAGAGCGCAGGTCTGTTCACGCTGGTAGGTGCAGGAGGAACAGGAAGCAGATTTGCTCCCCAGGTTCGACTTCTTTTACGGCCACGGCCTCTACGACCTCAAGCACCAGCGGCCGCCGTGCAGGGACAACAGAGCTCTGGGCGTTTGTCTCCCGCACTCTGCATCGCTGGGGAGCAGACGGACCCACGAGGAGCCGGCAGACCCGATGCCCTGAGCTCAACCTCGCTTCAGAGCCCCACACTTCCCACGTGTCTCCAAGTCCGTCCCCGCCGGAAATCCCACGGCTGTCACCCGTCACGGTTAGAGCGGTGTGACCGGAGCCGCTGCGAGGCACGGGAAACAGGACGCGCGTTACCTCCGAGAGCTTGACACACATCTTCTCCTGCCAGCCTTCTTCCGGGGGAGATTCTGGAAGGAACACCCAGTCTGCCCCGCAGGCCAGGGCGCTCACCAGGGCTAGGTACCTATTTGGAAAGGGCGGTGGCTTCGTAAGGCAGCGGCGGGCTCCCGCGTGGACCGGCCAAGGGGCCGGGCTGAGGGTCCTCGCCACGCAGACGGCACGTGCACATACGTACCCGCAGTGTCTCCCCATGACCTCAAGCACAAAGGTCCTCTGGTGGCTGCAAAAGACACAAGGAAACATCCACTTACCACCCCTGGGAACAGCATGAAAAGCACAGAGAGAGGCACTGTGACAGCCAAGTCAGAAGCAAAGCCTGCTTCCTGCCGATGGCAGTGCCTAAGTTCAGAGAGCGCCCACTTTCTACAAGATGCTACACCGCAGCCCAGAACGCCCACCAGGGGACCTCCCAGGGTCGGGACTGAGGTCTACACCGCAGCACAGAATGCCCACCAGCGTTGGGACTGAGGTCTACACCGCAGCACAGAACGCCCATCTCGGGACCTCCCGGGGTCAGGACTGAGGTCTACACCGCAGCCCAGAACGCCCACCAGGGGACCTCCCGGGGTCGGGACTGAGGTCCACCCCGCAGCCCAGAACGCCCACCAGGGGACCTCCCGGGGTCGGGACTGAGGTCCACACTGCAGCACAGAACGCCCACCAGGGTTGGGACTGAGGTCTACACCGCAGCACAGAACGCCCACCACGGGACCTCCCGGGCTCAGGACTGAGGTCCACACCGCAGCCCAGAACGCCCACCAGGGGACCTCCCGGGGCTGTCAGGGACATCTGCACCGCGGCCCGTCCCAGCCGGGCGCTCGCCCCCCGGCTCACCTCTGGGCGGTGGTCATGATGGCGTCCACGACCTCGATAATCCTGTGCAAGGCGGAGTCGGTGCCGATGGTCATGTCAGTGCCGCAGAAGTCGTTGTCGATGGAGCCTACCATGCCCACGACGTTGAGGTAGGCGTGCTCCTGCACCTCCTCCCTGTCGATGTCGCCTGCGTGGGACACAGACCGCAGGCCCTGAACACGGGCCGCCGCCGACCCCGCAGGCACTCGGCCAGCAAGAAGCGGGGCGTCCCGGGGAGACAAAGCCGCCACTCCGTCCCGGTTTCCCACGTGTCGTTGTGTTTTCTGAACAAGTTCAGGCTGCGCGCTGAGGGCACGGCAGCCAGCCTGCGGCCAGGAGATGCCACCAGCCGGGCACAGGGGCTCAGCGCAGAAAGGGAATGGGGAGCACGCCGCGTCCGGCTTTAGTAAAACCCGACGTCTCTCCGTCAGCGGCCTCGGGCAGGCGTCCCTCCGTGTGAGGGGGTGTCACTCGCACGGACCCGGGAGCTTCGGGACGCTGCGTGTGCTCCCGCAGATTTCTCACCGACGTGGGGGGCGGTGGTGGGGACCCGCTTCCGGGTCTCGGGAGAGAGCTGCCGAGGGGGGCGCGGGCAGGGACTCGGCGGTGACCCCCCTGTGCCGCCACAGAGCCTGCTGTGGGCCCGAGTGCAGCGGGCGGCAGGTGCCGCGGGACCCGACGGCTGCCCGCCCATCCACGGACAGACGGCGCAGACTTGGGGCCCCTGCTCCTGCCAGCTTCCCGCCCGTCAGAAGGGGCTGTCCCTTGAGGCCATGAGCTGCCGCGGGCCGCGTCGGATGCCAAGCCTCACCTCCGCATCAGCACCCTTCCAAGGTACGGGCCGCGGAACACAGAAGGTCCTCCGCTACAAGTCACCTCAAGTCTCGCAACAAGGCAGACACCGGGGGGCCCCCGGCAGAGCCGGACGCACCGGGTGGTGGACACCCGCACCCTCACCTCCAAACGCCCCGCGACCGTCAGCTGGGCGGACGCGTGAGTTCGGAGCGCTCCGAGGGGAACGGCAAATGAACGGAGGGAACAGAAAACCCCCCGGGGGACAGGCGGGCGCACAGACGTACCATTTTCGGCCAGCTCTTTGAGCAGCCCGCTCCACTCCTTCCGGAAGATGTTGGCCCCGGTGAGACTTCCGTCCCCGCCGATCACACACAGGTTGGTGATGCCCCGCTGAACCAGGTTCCCAGCGGCTTTCAGCCGACCCTCCCGGGTGCGGAAGGCCTTGCAGCGAGCGCTGCCTATGATGGTGCCTCCCTGGAAAGAAACCAGACCGCGTGTCCCTGCCTCCTCCCCGCAGGAGCTGACACGGGGCGTTACGAGCGCGTCAGTGGACACGCAGAGAACACAGGAGCCCGCAAGATAACCCAGCCGTCCCCAGGCCTGGGCTGAAGCAGGACAGTGGGGGCGGCCACGCGCCCCCATCCACCGAGCCTCCCACGGGCGGGCGCGGGCCAGCCGCCCGGGTACCAAGGCCCCCGTTCTCCTGGAGCTCCCCATGCGGGCAGAATAGAAACCTGTGAGCCAAAGAGATCTGTGTCTCAACATCTCCCCCCACTCCCCCCGCCCTCTATTAAAGGCTAAGTCGTAAGAAAACTTCAGTTGGATCACCCACATTTCCAGGAGAGACAAGTCAGGGCTCTTCACACTCGGTCTCTCAAAACTGAAAGACCCCTAGTCACGAGTTAAAAGAAAGCAGGGGCGCCTGGGGGGCTCAGTCTGTGAAGCGTCCGACTTCGGCTCAGGTCATGGTCTCCCAGGTCTGTGAGTTCGAGCCCCACGTTGGGCTCTGTGCTGACAGCTCGGAGCCTGGAGCCTGCCTCAGATTCTGTGCCTCCCCCTCTCTCTCTGCCCCACCCCTGCTCACGCTCTGTCTCTGTCTCTCAAAAATAAACATTAAAAAAAAATTAAAGAAGTAAAAAATAAATAAAAGAAAGCAGGATTTCTTTACATACATCGTGAATTCATTTATAACACCTCCATTTGCACACAATCTTTCACGTACGGGCTCAGTTCATAAGGCACAGTGCTCTGCACCCCAAGGAGCCCGTGCGACTGACGGGAAGTATGGCGGAGACAGCGGCACGGTGTGGCCCAGCAAAGGTGAGCCGGGGCGGAAGGTGCTGGGCAAGGACAAAGAGGGACTGGTCACTCTGATGTGACCGAGAGCGACTCGAGGGTCCTGGGATTGCTGACAACTGGAGGTCAAGCGGGCATAGCCCATAAACACCGAGGGGCTCGCGGGGCCTCAGGAGCTAAGCCATGACTGAGGATCGCCAACGAGTCGCCCTCCACGCCCCGCACAACCCCGCCTGGGTTCCTATCTCCCTGGGCGGTCATGGCACCAGACCGGAAATGGTCCTGTCACACGTGGGTTTGCTGCCTGGAATTCAGAAGACGCGTCCTCATTTTTTGCAAATAGCGTTCTAAGTGCTGACGGCTGTAAAAGTCCCTCCGGCCTGTTTCCGGGGAGGGCAGAGGATAGGACCTACGAGTGTGTAACCAGCCTTACAACGTACACCCGGTGATCCCCTCCCCACCGGGGGCCACGGAGATGTAACGCACCTAGAGCGTGATGTAAGTTGGGGCGCACAACGTGCTGATTTGATACATGCACGCGTTGCGAAGGGATCACCACGAGAAGGCTCACTGACCTGCTTATCCGTTCACGTTCGCTTTCTTTTGTGGTGAGAGCGTTTAATATCTACTCTCGGCAACTTTCAGCATCATATCATACAGCGTTGTTAAGAGTTTTTAAGGCCTAGGACACGATGATTCAACGCACTTCTACACTGTGAAATGATCGCCATAACCAAGTTCATTACCACCTCCATCACCTCCGTAACCTCTGTGCGCGCGCGTGTGTGTTGAGAACGAAGATCTACTCCCTTAGCAACCCTCGAGTGTACAAAACAGAATTATTAAGCATAGCCACCATGCTGTACGTTAGGTCTGGAGGTTACTCACCCCCAACCTGGGAGTCCGTGCCCTTGGACCAGCGACTCCCCGTTTCCCCCACCCCCAGCCCTGGGCGGCCACCGCTCTGCTCTGTTTCTGCGGGTTCAGCTTTTCTAGATCTCACCTGCACGTGAGACCGTACGGATGTTGTCTGGGTCTGACCCATCCCCCCTCAGCACAACACCCCGAGGTCGGCCCGTGCCGTCCCGAGTTGCGGGACTTCCTTCCTTCCTACGGTGAATACATTCCACTCACAGTCAGACACCATCTACTCCGTCCGTCCTTCTGTCGCACGAGCACCTTCAGCGAGAGTCTATCAGTCTGGTTTCCTTCTACTGAAAAACGCTCAACGTGAGCGACACGTTAACTGGTGTGGAACCACCAGTAAAGACCTGTGTTGTGAAATCCATTCTTTCCCTGCCATCCATTCTCCACCGGTTCGGGCCTTCACGGAGCGACTGTGTTTGGGGAATTCACCCGGCACGAGACATCCGGGCAGGCTCCTTTTAAGTTCCGGGTCGGCACCCGTCTTGCCCACAGCAGCACGGTCCCACGGCTGTGCACGGCCAAAGCCAGTAGCCACATCTGGCTCAGCCCGGCACAGGGAGCTGTGTTCCCACTGAAGCCCGCAGCCCTCGGAGGCCAACAGCGGGGATCGTTCCCAGGCCCGGTGACTCTCGAAAATCCAGCAGGCACCAACAAGCTGAAGCTGCCTCAACATTAATCCGGCCTTAAAAAACCAGAAACAGGGGCGCCTGGGTGGCTCAGTCGGTTGAGTGGCCGACTTCGGCTCAGGTCATGATCTCGCGGTCCGTGAGTTCGAGCCCCGCGTCGGGCTCTGTGCTGACCGCTCGGAGCCTGGAGCCTGCTTCCGATTCTGTGTCTCCCTCTCTCTGGAGCCTGCTTCCGATTCTGTGTCTCCCTCTCTCTGACCCTCCCCTGTTCATGCTCTGTCTCTCCCTGTCTCAAAAATAAATAAAATGTTAAAAAAAAATAAAAAAAAAAAACAGAAACAAACCCAAAATCCACAAGGTCCACAAGTGAACCCCAGCTATCACGCGTGAGTCTTCAGTGCAAGAATAATCCTCTGCTGGCACGATGCAAAGCATGTTAAAAAGTTTAATTAAGCCACCGATTGAGGATGTGTCCTTACCCCAGAAGTGGACGAGGACGGTAATGCCAGCCAGCACGTTAACGCGCCTCCAGCATCACCGGAGCCGAAGGACCAAAGGTTTCCAACTACCAGAGTGACTTACTTTGGAGACACAGGGAGTATGGGAAGTGAGCACGTACCACTTGCAGAATGCTGGAGACGCTTTCCCAGTTGGCTTCCACGATGTTACTGCCGCCATCAACCATGCCTTGGTAACCCTGCGGAAAGAGGGTGGACATCCTTGTAAAAAAAAAAAAAAAAAACCACACTGGGTTCAACTCTACTGAGACGTCAGATCCACCTGTACATTCTGTGAAAAAGTAAGTGCGAGGAGTGAGGAAGGACTCTGAGCCCCTAGGACCCCAGCGGTTCCGAGCAGGGCGCCACCTGTGCTGCTTCTAGGCGGCAAATGTGCACAAAAGCTTCCTCAGTCTAACCCCCAACAAATGGGAACTTCTTGCCAGACTCGTCCGGGGCCCTACGGGGACTAAGTCAGTTTGCCTGTCACCTGACAGCTCCACGCAGGCTGAAAGGGGAGATACTTCCCCTAACGCTGATCGTAATGTGACAAACTTACGTGCAAACAGTGGTGTCAATCGTTGCGCGTGCAAGAAAGCATTCCTGTCTGGGCCTCAGTTTCCCTGGGCCGCTATCCGTGCCGCTCTCGACACACACGCCGTACCGTGTTCGGCTTCTGAAAAGCACGGCTGAGGATCACCGCAGCCATCGGTCGGCCTCACCCTGTGCTTAGCTGCATCGGACTCGCCGGAGGGGGTGGTGAGCCAGCGGGGGTCAAGGCGCCCGAGGACCAGGACCTTCCGGCTCTAAGGGCATCTCGCTTTTCCCCAGAGACCGCACGAGATCGAGGAAGACAGACACACCCATTTGCGTCTTTACCGCCCGGACTCTCTCCCCAGGACATTTAACCTTAAAAAGGAACAGGCACTAACCACTTTGAAAGTTGATCATAATAGATTGTTACGGTGGATTCGTATCTCCTACCCTCGTGGAGGTCAAGAGGAAAGAAAAAAGTAAGGATTTTTTTCAAAACGAAATGGCCCACCAAGTAGGGAACCGTGTGTGAAAGTTAATCAACAGGGCAGGAGCCTTTACAGGCAATCATTGCGTGAACCTGTGCTTACCCGTCAAAAATATGTTCCCATGTGATGTAACGTACCGTGTTAATACACTGTATCGTAATAATGTATGATACACGTTAACATATTATATCGTATACCATGACATACATTACTGTTATCTTTACATCCTGAAACATCGTATTATGAAACTTATTATTTCTGTGTTATATAGCGAGAATACATACATGATGTATGTCTATAAATTATACAGAATGAACCTGCCTTCAACTGAACTCTCTTTGTTCTGTTTCACTCCAGACCACCTCTCTCTTTCCTGTTTGTCACACACATAACACCAGGCTATCAACACACACCTGTGTCTGTGTATATATTTTTACAGGCTGCATAGATACGCATTGTACGTAACACGTAATATGTTGCGTACAATATACAACCATGTACGTTTACAAAATAGCAATATAATTACAATCGTAAATATAGCAAATACATACTTTATACGTTACACAGAACATAGGTTGCATACAATGTATTATAGTCACATAATGTTTTACATTTGTGAAACTGTTTTGTTTTACATTATGTTTCACATAATGTTTTACATTTGTGAAAATGTTTTACATTATAGTATGCGAACATCTAAATACACATACACCCATGCACGTGTCACAGTCTGGTGTTCTGTGTGACAAACAGCAGAGGGACAAATGGAATGGACTAAAGTGGGGCAGAGGAGCCGTGAGCAGATTCGCCTTGGAGCTGGCGGGCCTCCCCACGCCTCCTGTACTGAGGACGTGACCCCCGGGCTCAGGCTCCCCACAGCCCCCCAGAACAGGCCGTCTTCGTGGGGCAGCGACAAAGCCTACCGGGTGTGCGTTTTTAGCCCCGTCCATGTAACGTATGGGGCCGCCGAGGACGTCTGTGGAGGGTGACGTGGGCCAGGCCCGGCCCCTGGAAGGGGGGCTCCCGAGAGGTGGGAGTTGTGCTGCGCCAGCTGTGAGTCACCAACCACACACGCTGCCCCGGGACCAATGCAGAGGCAGGCCTCCCTGCTTCTAAGGGACTCCCAGGGACAGTGAGCAGCGTGTTACAAACAGGTAGAGAGACGGGTAGCCGGACAGTAGACAGACGACAGACAGACAGACAGACAGAGAGCAGGGAGAGGACGCAGAGGGAGGGAGCCTCCGGCCTCAGGACTGCCTGTCACCAAGCCCTGCCAAGTAACTCCCCAGTTTCTGCTAAGAACTAACGCCCCCACCCCCCCGTCACTCTGCACGCACCACACGCCGTGCCATTCCTCGGATACGGGAACAGCACTCAGCGTCCGTGGCGGTGCCGGCTTTCCGAGCTCCGTTCTCTGAAGCCTGGGACGCAGGGACACAGCACGTGTCACCGGACACAGGCCTGCGCTGAACTGGACCCAGCGCACAGCACGATGCTTCAGCCCCAAACCCGCGCGGGCCTGACGACGACAGAAAACATCTTGAACGAGGCCAGAAAGGCAGGTGAAGACCAGGGCCGTCCCGCGCACGGCAGGGTGACGCGCGCCACCCCCTCGGCAACACCCAGAAAGCCAACACGCCGCTCCCCGGCTCCGACGGCCGCCAGAGTTAATTCCGGCACCCTCCGTCCTGAGGTCACCGAGGACACCCAGGGGAAGGGGCCGCCCCGGGCGCCCCAGTGCCGGCGAGGACGCGGAGGCCGGGGCAGTGTCCCCAGCTTGTCGAGGGCCGTCTCCGCTGCACCTGGCCGGCGGCTCGGTCCCCTGGACGGTTCGGGCAACTCGCGGGCCCCGCACGGCATTCCACAGCTTCCGCCCCCAGGCGCCTCTGTGGGGAATGCAAATTTCCCTCTGCCTGTATCCTCACCACCGCCCCGTCCTTGAACGCTGACTCAACAAAAACATTTCCGAATCCCTTTGCTCCTGGAGCAGGAACGTGGGAAATCCTCCTAGAAAACATGACACACATTTGGAAAGGCAGAATAGCCTCCCAAGATGGTTTATTTCCCGCGGCGCGGCTGTCTACGGGAAAGGAAGCACCCGTGGGCCGGGCCGCAGGAAGTGACTGGCAGGGGCCGGGGGCTCGGGCACATCTGAGTGCAGTTTTAAGCCGTCCTTCGCTTCCCAGGAAGACGTGACTAAATCAAGAAGGCCGGTTTTACACAAACGTACCATAATTTACAAGCTCGGACGAGCTGTTTTCCACTGAAGCCTCTTTGGAGGTTTGAATGCCTATTCCAATACAGCCAAGAGCCCAAAATATTTTCTGCCATCCTCTTTGGAGTCTGACTTCAGAGCGAGTTCCATGACTCACACGGGAGTAAAGGCAGGCAAAAGCTGGAAGGACTGCACTGAGTTTCTACCCCAGAGTAACGCTCCCCGCCTGGCTGGCCCTCGTCTGCACGGTGTTGAGCCAGAGAGAGACCCTTCGCGGCCGCACCAAGTGTGACGGCCTGTGGAGGCTTCAAGCGGCACCTCTTGGTGACGTCCCCAAACGCGCCCCAGACTCTGAAGTCAGCTTGACCCCCTTGGAACCGTCCTGAGCAATGTCCAGGGAGGCCTGGGGGCCCAGTCCGTCCCCAGGACCCCGTGCTGCCTTCAGAGGTCACTCTGACCTGCATTTTTAGGCACCTGTTAAATCGGCTCTGAGGACAGTCGGAACCGGTCCACGGTGGGTGGCTTCCTCTCACAAGAGACCTCATGCTGCGTCACTTTTTGTAATTAAAGGCCCAGAAGGAAACCGGAGTCCCGTGCTACGGGAAGGACGCTTTCTGATTTAGAAGGCTCATGTTGCAGGCGTCCACCCTTCTCCCCAGCCGGACGACCCTCCTTCCAGATCCCGTTTCTGGCATTTTTCGCCCAGCATCTCGCCGTCTGAGGGGCACACGCTCCAGCTGCCAGCGGAGACGCTGTAGCCAAGATCGCGACCACGAAGCGTCTTCTAGATGTGACCACTGACGCCAGAGACCTCTCCCGGGCTTCTGCTGCTCTGCGTAGATGCGTGTTTTGGCTTCCCGCTTTAGTCCTTCAAAGACGAGAGCACGTCACCGACGGGACTCAACGGCAAGCACACGAGAGGTGCGCTCTCGACCGCTGGAGGCTTTGGAGTCAGGAAATGCCATCCTGCTAAACCAGGTGGGCGCGAGACAGCGGCGGGCACGGGTCCTCCACGGTGGTGCCTTCGAAGTCCAGGAACGTTGGCTGTTTTGCTACAGGAGGTTCTGGGCGGACCCCCCGGTGACACAGCAGGCCCTCCCAGACCCAGCGCCCAGTTCACCGCCCCCCCCCCAACCCCAGGGCTCTTTGGGGCCCGGATGCCCCAGCGTAGCGGGCCTGAGAGCACTCAGGGTGCCGGGACCTCGGGGACGATGCCCCAGAGCCGCCTCCGCACGTGTCCGTCCGAGCTGCGGTCAGACTCTCGAATTCTACAATTGGTTAGAACAGGACGGGCCCCGGCGGAGCCCTGCACGGTGTGCCTGTGGAGACCGGCCGGTCCACCAGCGTGCTGCGTTAGCCCCCTGGCGTTATCGGATGTCTCCACGCCGAAGCGGATAACACAGTCCCAGGCCGATCACAAAACCCACGGCCACAGCGGGTCACGGCAAATCAGCATGACACGGCCCCGAGGTGATAACGCAGGGCGGGGCAAAGGCCCAGGAGGAGATTATATTTCCGAGATTAAAACACTAAACTGGGAAGCAGGGCAAGGCCGTGTCAAGCAGGACCAGCATGTGGACGGTCCGAGGACGGGTCACGGAGCGGGCCCTCAGCGGGAGAGACGCTCAGCCCTATGCCCGTTACCTCTGTCATCCGGCTGCGTGCGGCCACAGGACCTTTGTGAACCCAGTAACCGTGCGGACGGGCCTGCTGGAGCCGGGCAGCCGACCCCGCAAGTCAGCTGCAAGGGACACACACTTGACTGCTCGTTCGGGCCATCCTACTACTGTTTTTAGACAGGTGCTTTGTGGGTTAGTAGTTCTGACTCTAAGGAAGTTAAAATGTAGAAACAGTGAAGTGTCAAACCTGCAGGAGAAGAGAGTGTGGTTCTGGTCACCTGGCCTTCCCAGCACTCGGGGTGGAGAGCGGGGAGAGGCGGAGGCAGGGGTGGGGCGGGTCCGAGCAGGCCAGCACGCCCCCCAGAAGTCACCCTGGGCACCCTGGCCTGCTCGCCCCCCCCCCCGGGTCAGGAGCACGGGGGGCACCCACGTCCCACCACACCCGGATGCCCCACGCCCAGCAGAGGAGGGTAGGCCAGGAGGGGACCATGCTCTTTCTGCCCCGAGCGTGACATTGCCTGCTTAAGGACGGTGAACGCAGGCAGCCCGTCAGAAGTCACATGCCCCGTGGCAAACGGGGTTTCTGTTCGGAAGGGGAAAAATGCCACCCCTCTGTTAACAGCCAGATTAGAGCTGGTTTATCAGGGTATTACGTCAGCTCTGACGAGCAGGGTCTCCGCCTGCAGCCCAAGCCGGCCAGGCCGGGGTCGCGGCTCTGACCTGGCCGAGGCCCCTCTCTCCAGGAAGTCTGACATGCGTGCTTTTAACAAGAAGGTCGGCTGCTGAATGTGCCGGGAATCCTTCCTGCCTTTATTCGGGGTTCGGAAGACCAGAGATGGGCCTGTGGGTATTTCCAGGTCTGTGTGCCCATGCCCAACTGGTAAGCGCGATCTCAGAGAGGAGAGACTCCGGGCGCCTGGGGTGGGGGATCAGTCCCCTGAGCGTCCACCTCTTGGTTTCGGCTCCGGTCATGATCCCAGGGTCGTGGGATCGAGCCCCGCGTCGGGCTGTGCTCTGAGCAAGGAGCCTGCCTGGGATTCTGTCTCCCTCTGCCCCTCCCCAGCTCCCCGCCTCTCTCCGTAAAATAAAAAAAATAAACACACAAAAAAGAGGAAAGACTTTTAAGTGAGTCATGTTTAAAGAGCTATAATTTCTGTAAATCTGCAGAAACACCTTCTGCTAATAGGATTTTGAGTCTGCAGATTATCGGAGACAGAACTGGCCTCCTGTTTCTAGCAACCAAAGACAGGAGGAACAGAGGACTTAACGGCCCTCCTCAACCCCGGGACCCCGTCCTGGGCACAGTCCTGTGAAACCGTGTGACGTGCTCGTCATCGCCGTCCCCGAACAGCTAGAGACACCTGTAGGTCTCTAAGGAAAAACCCGAGCCTGGAAGGAAAAGGAGAAAAAGCGACACCTGACTCACCAGGTGGAAAGAACGGGTTAATCGGCCACCCGCCCCCTCCTCCCCAGACGGTGCCCAAGGGCTCAGCACAACAGCACGTGGTCCTGGCCCGGATTTACAGCAGTCCCGGCTGCAGCCAGACAGAACAATCCGGGTGCCAGACCTGGAGCAGGACTGCCAGCGTTTTCCCATCAATACGCTTCCCACAAACTTTCTGCTGAGGGAAGAAACCTCAAAACCCTTCCTTTATGTAACAGGAACCCGTTTAACTCTTTAGGTGCGTGGGGAACCTCGAAAGCTCCAGTCGAGCTCCGGGGGCGGGGGGGGGGGGGGCAGGGGGCTATACACACCGACAGGCAGCTGGATAGCCTGCTGAGTGAGGTTTTGGAGAAAGAAAACCAAACGTCTTGTAAATCTGAGCCCCAAGAGGTCTCGGACGGCCGTGCCCAACGGGGGTCACTGTACCCACCAGCACCACTGCCCGCGTCTGGAGACACTTCTGTGACGACTGTGGGGAAGGGGGTGGTCCCGGCCGGTGCCCCCTGCCCGTCCTAGGGACGGTCACACTAGGCGGGTGGGTAAAGGATGAGCATTCTGCTGCCCAAATGAATTAGGAAAAAAACCCAGCAGATTTCAGAGTCGGTTGGATTTCAAAGACAGGGTCCTTTACGTCGGTGACAAAGAGCTGATGGCACCTGAACGGATTCAGTTCGATGAGATGCTATCGGTTCCCAGGGCAAAGTCCGAGGGTGGGAGGCGACAGAGTTTTGAGTGAGCCCAGGACGGCCCCCCATGGAGACAGAAAGGACAGGCTGTTCCCTAGAATTCCTCTTTTGGGGGTGGGGGGAGGGGTGTCACGAGAAGCAAGGTGTCTTGTCCCGACAGATGCCTTCGGTTCAAGGGAGCCCCTCTCCAGGCTGCCCCCGTTAGCTCCCCGTCGCTGGGACTCACGGGCCGGCCGTTCCTGGGGCCGAGCCACAGACACTGCCCTCTGCTCTTGTCCCCGGCACCTTCTTCCCGAGGTGCCAGTCACCAGGAAAGCACTTATTACACCACCCTGCACACAGACCCTCCCTGAAAGAAATGGACTCCGCACTGCCCACCTGCGGGGAGGGGCGGGATGCCGGGCTCGCCCAGCCGACAGGACCCCACCCACCCCACCCCTCCAGGGAGGGCACCGAGAACACGGCCCCAAAAGTGGTCGGGACGAAAGCGGGCAGCGGAGCCCACGATGGGGAGAAGAAGTCTGCTTTCCTGTGTCAAGACTCTTCCAGAGAATACCCAAGATGCTCTTCTCCCAAGGAACCCACGTTCCTGGGGGCGGGCATAGCTGATGTGCCCCCAAGGCGATTCCTGAACTGGGGACACTGTGAAGTCTGGTGCTAGAGATCTCATCTGACTATCCTATCTCAATACCCCCAGGACACAGGGCCAGTGACGACAAACAAAACCACAACAGAACTCTTAAGCCAGACAAGGATTAATGCTGACAGTTACTAGGCCGGATTCAACACCCAAAGGTTTGGCATGCACGCGGCCACCAGGCCCACCGCACGCCCTCCGCCTGTTGACCTGGGCAGCGTGGACATTCGGGGCCAGGTAACTAACTCCCTGTTGTGGCCGCTGTTCTGGGCACCACAGGGAGCTGAGTGGCGTCCCTGGTCCCCAGGCACCACATGGCGGGAGCCCTAATAACGTGACAGCCACGAAATGTCTGCAGACATCAGCGTCCCCGGGGGTAGTACGTCCCATCCCCGTCACTGGCCGGATGGGGGACTGGGGCTTTCTCCCCAGCTCTGCCCGTGACGAAAAGACACAGTAAAAGCAAAGTCTCTTTTTTTGAAAGACACACACCAGTCAGTTTCTTCAACTATGAAATAACGGAAATGACTTCCTTCCCCTCCCTCCAGCACCCGCAGTCACCCTCCAGTCCCAGTGGCCGCTGGTGACAGAGCTGGAGCCTGGAGAACCCCCACAGCGTCCCTAGCGAGGGGGACAAACACTGTGGGGCCCACGTGCTGCACGCCCAGAGTCCAGGCAGAATCGTCTGCACTGAATTGAAAACACGCTGTCGGTCACGAGAGAGGAACCTGGTCCGAGTCCGCCCCAGCCCCCAGCAGGCAGGAGGGGGGGGGGTTCCGGCTGGAGCTCCAAGGCAGAGGCAGCCCCTCCCCAGGGTGAAATGGAACCAGATGGAAAGGCAGAGGGCATCGGTGCGCATGCACGCGGTCCCCGGCAGCGGCAGGAACACACGCGGGCAACTGTAGCAAGCTAAACACCCACCGGAGGTGCGGGCTCTGTGCACACCAGCGCCCCGGCCCAGGGCCAACGGCCACAGGGGTGACGTGACCCCGAAGACACCCCAGACAACGCTTTGATTGGGCCCATCCTTTTCACAGCTCCCAAATCGGAGAGACGCAAACCCCAGAGCCACAGAGCCGCAGCTCGGAAGAGCAAAGCCAAGAACGGGGCAAAAAAAACACCTTTCCAGCAAACACACAAACTGTTATCCAGCCCGACGAGCAAAGGCTTGTGACCCGCCCCTTCCCAGAAGGGGGAGAGCCCGGGCCAGCTCTGGGGGGCCAGGGCAGGGTGGGGGGAGGTCAGGGCCTGGAGCCGGTTTCAGGAACCACTGTGGCAAAATACCAACCCTCCCCCCCAACCATCCCTGCCGCACGGGCCATCCCGTCGGCGCCCTGTGCTGGGATCGCGGTAATTGCACAAAACACCTAATGGCTTCACACACCATCACGGGTCTCCTGTGTCAGGACATTTGAAAAGTGGGGTGTCACCAGTCGCACGGGAGAGGAATGATCCCACAAACGAGGGGTCACGTAAATGGGAGTCCCCAGTGGTGGGATATCGCAGAAACCTGAAGTGTGGAGAGGGATCGTGGCGGAAAACACTGCACAAAATATATTTGCTGTAGTTTTTTTTTTTAATTTTAAATGTTTATTTTTGAGAGAGAGAGAGCGTGTGAGCAGGAGAGGGGCAGAGAGAGAGGGAGACACAGAATCGAAAGCAGGCTCCAGGCTCTGAGCTGTCAGCATCGAGCCTGACGCGGGGCTCGAACCCACGAACCGCGAGATCATGACCTGAGCCGAAGTCGGACGCTCAACCAACGGAGCCCCCCCGAGCGCCCCCCTATTTGCTGTAATTTTTATAACATTCAGATCCCCTTCTAGACTCTCACATACAGTCTTGGGGAGGATCAGAATAAAAGACGAATGTGCTCTCTTCTTTCCGTGTTCTCCGCTTTGTTAGGTTTCATAAATTTAAAACCTAAATAGAGATTATTTATCCCTCATAGTTTTTGACGTAAACGCCCGGGTCCAAACTACACGGGCGCCTCCCCTCCAAACCTCGCCTACCGCTACGTGGTCAGCCCCTGGAAAGTGGGACATCACAGCCCGTGGCCCCCGGCTCACCTCAGACTCTTCATTTGAAGTTGGTACGGAAAGGGTTGCCGGGGAGGTGGTCTGGGTTTCCCGGTGGTGACACAAAGCTCAAAGTGGCCTCTTTCTCCCAGTTACCTCAATGTTTATTCGCGTTCAGCCCCATAATGAGTGACAGATCACTTCCGTAAGGAAGGAGGGCTGCAGACAAATACCGTCATCCCACGGGGCCAGCAGGTAACACGAAGCGGCATTTTGCGCCCCGTGTGGTCCCCCCCAGCCCCTCACCCCTGGCACAAACCTCACAGACCTGCACCCAGACCAGGAGTGCGACCTCCCCACTCCCTGGGGCACCCCCCCTCCCTGCACACGGGGCCCTGCTGTGGCCTGAGGGGCGTGCCCACCACCCGTCATCTCGTGTTGGGTCAACAGCGCCCGGGCAAGCGTGAGGCACGGGTCCCCGAGTCAGAGAAAGCGGGAGGGAGACGCAACACTGACCTCATAGATAAAGTACACCTTGGCCCCCACGTATATTCCCATGCGCACCACAGCACGGACAGCAGCATTCATACCTGTGGAAGGAAGAGGACAGAGTCAGTGACCAGACTGTGGCGATTCGCGTGCTGCCATTTAACCCGCTGTGACCATGGGGGACCCACGTGCCCGTGCGGCGGGCTCCTCACACGGACGACGGGCCCGGCGTGCACGTCCGGGGTCGGGGCCAGGCGGCCGGTGCGCTGAGGGCACACGGCCGGGGCGCGTCACTGTCCGAGAGCCCGGGGCACCCTGACGGTCACCGCAGACAGAGGCGGGACCCCGGCCCGGAGGAGTCGGTAGGCAACACAGCCCATCGTCGAGACAGCAGAGAGACCGGGGCTTATCTGTAGTTAGACAGACTCAGCTTGACACGGACGAGGGCTGCCTCTGCGACCGGAGGAGGGAAATCGTTATTTCGTTAGCAGCTGGCGGTGTAAAGAATGTCTCAGTGAAGGGCCTTAAATTCAAACTAAGTCATGCCGTTTATTAAAAGAAAAGCCAGACCAATACGGTATGAATAAATACCTCCTCAAGATAAATCTCGGACATGCTCCACACTTGCCCAGAGGACACTACCTAAAGGGGATTAAAGCGGTTTTGTGCGACACAGCCTCGTGCTCTCACGACGCCCCAACTCGCTCTCCACGGGAGCCCCACTTTTTTTTTTTCAACGTTTTTTATTATTTATTTTTGGGACAGAGAGAGACAGAGCATGAACGGGGGAGGGGCAGAGAGAGAGGGAGACACAGAATCGGAAACAGGCTCCAGGCTCCGAGCCATCAGCCCAGAGCCTGACGCGGGGCTCGAACTCACGGACCGCGAGATCGTGACCTGGCTGATGTCGGACGCTTAACCGACTGCGCCACCCAGGCGCCCCATAGGAGCCCCACTTTTGAGCGGCGCACCTGGGCCGGGTAAGCCCTGGGGAGAGCAGAGGGAACAGGAAACTGCAAACCCTGTGTCATCACTAAGAGGCCGGCCCGCGAGGCCAGGATTCGGGAGGGGACGGTCGGTCCCAGGCCTCGAACAGGCAGCTCCCGGCTCCTAGCCGACATGCGGGACACCGGGTCGCTCCCCTGCCTCCCCCGCTAACTCACATTTCAGACACAAATGTCAGGACTGCAGAGGCTGGAGAACACGGGCCACGAAGGAAAGGCCACCCCTGGTAATACACGGAAGGCACCTGGCTCCCAGGAGCGTTACAGACACGGACACGAAATTCGTACGTACTGGGTGGGCAAAGCCACCCAGAAGACAGGCAGAGATGGTCACAGCTGAGCCACGTCTGAGACCCGAGAACACGGCTGTCAGCTCTCAAAGGCTACAGTAGTCACGTGGCTGGACGAGCATGGGGCCCAGACCTTAGAAATAAGTCCACGTTTAACGCACACGTAAAACGTACACGTCCACGGACACGTGCACATCTGTGAGCCATCACTTCCCGGTCGAACCCCGTTTGAGGACCTATGGATTAACAGCTGTTCGGTCCTCCAGACCCTCAGACGCCGCACATCAGGGCACAGCCTCCACACCCCCCACGTTTGCCCCGCATCCCGCCCTGGAACGGCTGTATGTCTTTGGTTAGTTACGACACAAGTAATTTATAAACACGTTCTTCTTGTTAAAAAACTACGGGGCGCCTGGGTGGCTCGGTCAGTTAAGCGGCCGACTTCGGCTGAGGTCACGATCTCGCAGTCTGTGGGTTGGAGCCCACGATCTCGTGGTCCGTGCTGACAGCTCGGAGCCTGGAGCCTGCTTCGGATTCTGTGTCTCTCTCTCTCTGCCCCTTCCCCTGCTCACAGTCTGTCTCTCACTCTCTCAAAAATAAATAAACATTAAAAAAATTTTTTTTTAAATATTACAGGGCGCCTGGGTGGTTCAGCCAGTTAAGCGTCTGACTCTTGATTTCGGCTCAGGTCTTCATCATGGCTCATGAGATGTCGGCTCTGCGGGGTCAGCAAGGATTCTCCCTCTCTCTCTGTCCCTTCCCACCCCCCTTCCTCTCGCTCACTCTCTCAAAATAAATAAGTTCATTTATCCATTTAAAATGTTTATTTTGAGAGACAGAGCATGTGCACACCTGCACACACACACACACACACACACACACACAGGTGCACACACAGGTGGGGGAGGGGCAGAGAGTGAGAATCTCAAGCAGGCTCATGCTTAGCACAGATCAATGACATCGTGACCTGAGCTGAAGTCAAGAGTCAGATGCTTAACCGACGGAGCCCCCCAGGCGCCCCGGGGTCTCCTGCATTGGCACCCACAAACTCGGATATGCCCATGTCCCTGCCCTCGATTCGACAGGGCCTGCACGCGTCGAGCCAAACTCCTCAGGGACAGGTTGTCCAGCACGGGGACTCTATCTACCTGCTCGGCCCCACCTGGATGCTCGACCTTGAATCTCACAGTCGGTCGTCTCCACAGCACAAGCCCACAGCTCCCCCCGAAATGTCACCGCGTCCCGGTCAGACACGCTGGATGCCCTCCCTCGACCTGCAGATGGGGCTCCAGACCCCCAGACAGACTCCCTGCGAGCCCCCACCCACCCCTCGTCCCTGGAGGAGTGGCACAGTGTGGGCTCTCACACCTGTGGGTCCCCCACGGCCATGTCAGGTGGGCGGCTGGGGGGACAACACAGCTGCTTAGCTTCCCCCCCAACAGGCTCCAGGATTCCGGGGCTCACGCTGCAGCCACCGTCACAGGGAAACTGACCCCGAGCCCTTCAACGGCACCACCCCCGGGTGGGAAGTATGATAAACACCGACTTCCGGGCCGTCACCCTCCTGAACGCCCCTCCTTTACGAGGCGTCATTCCCAAGGGGCCCCTCACACAGGCACGAAAAATGGGGCTTTTGCGCCATGTAAGTGGCTGAAGGAAGGAACTGTGACAAGTAGACATGATCCGGAGGGGACGCCCCCGAGTCCCTGTGGGATAAAAGCCTGCCCCGACTGTAACCTGTCATGGGAGGCCCCCTGCCTGCATCCCACCCCTGCCTCCCACCCCTGCACTCACCTCTGCAGTCACCCCTGCCTCCTCCCTCTGCACTCACCCCTGCACTCACTTCTGCACCCCACCCCTGCATCCCACCCCTACACTCACATCCCACTCAGTGCCCACCTAGCACTGGGTGTCCCCCTGGGCCCTGGCAGAGTCCCTGGGGGCTCCTGGGGGAGGGAGGAGCCTGGGCATTTCCACCAAGTTCCCGGGGAGGGGCAGACGGAGGACAGTCCGGCCAGTACATCCTGAAAACCCCCTCCAAGACTCACTGGGCTTTAACTCACTTTAACTACTTGCAAGCGAGTCATCTAGTGAAGCCAGCCGGCCTCTTGCCACAGCTCGGAGCTCCGCCTGGGGCCTGGGGAGGGGCCATGCCTGTGGCTAATAACCAGCTGGGGTGGACGCTCACAGGAAGCCTGTGGGGTCCGGAGCCCCCCTGGGCGGATGAGGAAGTCAGGCTCCGAGCACAGAAACTGAGACGCCAAGGGAACAAAACCCAGCGGGTAAGCCTCGGCCTTCAGTCAGACTTAGAGCTGGTGCAGATTCTGCAGCAGGAAGGCTGTGCTGGAATCCCCAAAGCCAACCGCGAGGGATCCAGATGCCCCCTGGGCCCCAATTCCTGTCTAAGTGCTCGGGGCGGGGCCTGTGGGTTAGTCAGCCCTCGTGGGTCCTCCTCCCACCGGGCGGGGTTGGGCCCCGGCAGGTAGCCGCCTTCCAGGGAGGGGACCCAGGAGGACAAAAGCCAGGGAAATGGGAAGACACCCCTGCTCCCCAACAGCTTGCACCACAGGGTTCCTTCCTCGTGCTTTCGCTTTCGCTTCGGTGGCCACGTCGGGGAATTAAAGCAACTCTCCTAATTGTTATCCTGGGGAAATGGTATCTTGCTGGCGAGTCAGAATCTTAGTGCTTCGAGAGCAGTCGCCTCGTCGTTCGCAGAAATGTAAACCCGGCCTTCAGGGAATGTGGAGTCTGGTTACGGGCACCCAGAATGACCAAACCTTGGGAAAACGAGAGGGCGGCGAGGTGGGAAATGTGTGCTGGTGACTTGGGACGCAGCAGAAAGATCGGACCCTTAAGTTGTTCTGATCTTAACGTATTCGCTGCTTCTCACCAAACTAGGGTGCAGGTAAGAGCGTCTGGTCAGATCTTCCCTCCCTGGAGGTCAGGGAGCGCCGTGGACCTGTTTCCAAACGCTTCCTGAGGTCTGTTCTGATGACGTTTCAACTCTGAGGAATCTTGGGGCGCCTGGGTGGCTCAGTCGGCCAAGCGGCTGACTCGCGGTTTCAGCTCGGGTCCTGATCTCAGGGTTTGTGGGATCGAGCCCTGTGTCGGGCTCTGTGCTGACAGTGCAGAGTCTGCTCGGGAGTCTCTGTCTCCCTCCCTCTCTGCCCCTCCCCTTCCCTCTCTCTCTCTCTCTCTCTCTCTCAAAAATAAATAACAAGTAAACTTAAGTGTCGGGCTCTGTGGTGACATCGCAGAGTCTGCTTGGGAGTCTCTGTCTCCCTCTCTCTCTCTCAAAAATAAGTAACAAGTAAACTTAAAAAAAAAAAAGAAAAGAAACTTCATCTGTAAGAAGTAAGGGATATGCTGATTCTAATAAAACGAGTGGGGCTCATCTTGTGTTTCCCACGTGATCAGAAGAGTATAATCAACCTCCTGACTTAACCCTCTTAACGGTATGGAGCGATTTTCCCCACTCGTCACCTTCCCTTCCCTAATTAGTCCCTACTTAAATTCCTTTTGGAAAAATAAAGCCCAGCTGTTCAGCCCTCTCACCGGCCTCTGAATTCACGCGCCTCTTTGTATCGAAGCAGCCGTCAGCGTGTGTCAGAAAACAAGCTAAGGGACCGTTATCTTGCTCCTGCTCCTGCTCCTAAGATTCTCCATTAAGCCTCCCCGTTTAATAATGTAGGTAGGAGGGGCGAGGGGAGGAGGTCACAAAGAGAGCTGTGTCCAGGGGCTGGCTCCCCCGGGATCAGTTGGCAAGCTGGGAGCTCCCCCACATCCTGTGCTATCCACATCACTGCC